TAGAAGAGATTTTGGGCCTTGGGAGCCCCCAAAACATGCAGGGGTGGGAGCTCCCCCTCGGCCCTCCCTTTGGTCCCCCAGCCCTCTCCTCAGCTGGGTCCCAGTGGTCCTGTAGCTGCCCTGGTTTGGAGGAGCAAAGAAGCACAGGGAAAGGTTTCTATGGCTGGACAGACAATAGGTACTGGGTTAAGTAGGAAATGGGGCCACAGCCCGGGCCTGGGGAATGCAAAGGGTCTGATGGGAGAGAGCTCCCAGGGGGCCAGAGTCAGGTGGGAACAGCATGCCTGGATGTCAACAGACATGCCTTTGGGGTCACACACGCTATGTGTCCCACCCTCCGACCCAAGCTTGCTGATCGCAGGCCTTGGGGAAGAAAACCCACAACAGAAGGTGAGCTAAAAGGCATGGAATTTCCAAGCCAAAGCTGTTACATCCTAATGAGCCTTATTCAAAGGCCCCAACCCTCCGCTGCTACTGACAGTCTTAACTGCCACCCCCCCAAATCCCCCTCACCCCCCTGCAACCCAGCAACCCTGACTTTAAAAGTCACAGGACACCGGGGGCATCTGACCAACAAATATGCCTGAATTTTGTCCTGACTTATCTTTCTGTATCACACGACACAGCAGAAAACATGGTCGTTTTCTACAGTCCTCTGTTTGGAATTTCCCAATGCTGAGCTACAAATAAGAATGTCATCAGAGAGGCCAGGAGCCAACTGCCATCAGGAGCCCAGTGAAGGCCAGTCAGCAGGTCAGCAGACTAGGGTTTCAAAGGTCAGAAAGACAACACCTCAGTGCCCACTGCCCTCCCACCATCCAGCCTGAGTCTTGGCCCCTCGATCACTCACTCCATCCTGCCAGACATGGCAGGAGGTCAGAACACCAGCCATTTCTGGTCTGGCTTCATGCAATGGAGATCACCACTGATCAAGGACATAATACAGCCCTTGTTTAGAATTGGAGGCGAGCGAGAACCATCTCTAGCATGGAGAGCATTCTAGGGCAGGGAATCACAGCCAAGGGGTAGGGAGGTAACATGAAATGCCCAAGCCTGTAGGAGGGCCTGCTCAGGACCGGATCTCCCAGGACAAGAAGGACCCTGGAAAGATATTCCAAGGGGTGCACAGACCTCAGTACTGTTCAGGGGCCCCTCTGCCCCAGGGATGGCAGGCCAGCCTGTATCATCACCCCATATCCTGATACTCCCAATCTGCAGAAAATTTCCCAGTAATCCTACAACCACACAACCCACAAAAGCTTTCACCAGCTCCTAGGGGAAATGATTTCTCCATTCAAAGCCCAGGTAGCTCTTGCTATGTGCCAGGTAAGGGCAAGGTACTCAAGAAGAAAGATCACTGGAGGTCCTACCCTCAGTCTGGTTGGGTGGGAAGTAACTGACCAACCTCACAGCCAAAAGGATTTTTAGAGACCATCCCACCCAGCCTTTCCCTTCCTCCCTGATGAAGGGACAGAGACTCGCCAAGGGTCATCAATGCTCTTTGTGACAATGACACGAGTCCCAGTGGCCAGCCCAGCCCACTGCTCCCAGTGACACCCTGCTTCCAGAAACTCACTTGGCCACATGCGTCTATGGGAAGGCTTCTATACCTTGAACTAGAGAAGATCCAAAACATCTGATTGATATTTGATTTTTTTTTTTTAAGTTTTATGATCATAAGAAGTCCTCCCTGAGGAGGGAGGCCTCTTCGGGACTGGCTCATGGAGTGCTTCCTTCCAGAGCCTACACTCTTTTGGGGTGGGGTGGGGGGCGGTGGCAGTGTCACCATAACAACAGGCTCCTTTCTGTGGGGACTCAGACCACTACCACCCCGGCCATGTGACTCCCAACCCTGCCACTTCCTAGCAAGTGACCTTAGGGTAAGTTACTTCTCCCTTGCCCTGACCCACTTCCAAACAGACCCCACTCTGCACCCGCCTCAGCCTCTCTCGGTACCAGGCCCTGCCAAGGGCTTCTTTGCTTCCTGGTCTCTCCTCCTCTGGGTGTAGGTCTCATAATCTCAGAACTCCATCCTCTCTGAGCCCTCGGGCTGTGCCCTCACTCCTCTCCTCCTCCCACATCCCAGGGCACACCTCAGCAGGCCTTCCGGGGTCCCCAACAGGGCTCACGGCAGGCACTACTGGCCTTTCTAGATTCTTCCCACACACCGGCGTTAGTGTTTCTGACTAACTCTTCAGTTATCTCCAACGAAAGCCATGTTCTGGAACATTCTGAAATCACTGTGTCTAGATTGCTTCATGTTTGCCCCCTCCAAAAGTTGGTTCCTTCCCTGGCATCACCACTCTCCCTGTTCCCCTGACACAAGCTTCGGAGTCAACCCATCTTTTACAGTCTTCCTTGCTCGCTAGCTTTCCTATAAAGCTCGGCTTGATAACTAGTGCAAATTGTCCAACACCAAACTTTTCTTAACCGGAACACTAAGCTGACTTTCTAAATGGAGATCATCAAACCAGCAAGTCTCACAAATGCTTCAATTTGGGTATAAACAGAAGGGATGAGGGCAAACCAAACGGCCCTCTCAGAAGGGACCCCAAATTTTACTCTGGGCCCAGCCCTCGGCTGTGATGAGCACAGGGTCTTATGGAACCCTTCCGAGGTAGATCAAGTCCTTATCTCACCGAGGAGGGAAATTCAAGGTGAAGGATGAGGGGAGTACAGAACTAGAACACGTGTGACTTTCCTTCTCTTCTCCAGGATGCTCTAAGCTAAAATGACAGCAGCAGAAGGGCTGCTGGAACCTAAGAAGGTCTTCAGCATCAGAGAAATAAAAAACACATACAAACTCTGAGAGAGAGAAAGAGAAAGAGAGAGAGTATGTGTGTGCATGTGTATGTGTATGTGTGTGTGTGTGTGTGTGTGTGTGTATGTCTCCCTGGGGCATGTCTTGAATTACTGGGGGTAGCTCCAGAGCCCCACTAGATAGTGCCCCCCAACTGGACACCCCAATATTGAGAAAATTTATCTAGATATAGAACATGACTCCCACAGAAATGTCACCTGCCCTTTCCCTATATGTTAGGGCTAAAGTAGTGACCGAGACACAGCCTTGTCTGAAAGCGTGTCTTAGTTTAATGCTTTCTTGTGAAAGGAAAATGGACTCCGACATAGACACAATTTGTTCAAGCCCTTTTTGGAAACGGGCTATCAAAGTTCAGGCATTGGTTCGGCTAACGTAAAAAGTCCAACCCATTAAGCTCTAACACACATGGAAATGATTAACGTGGAACCGCCATGGGTCCTCTGGTCCATCAGCAACCATGAAAGCCAGAGCCAACGCTGAAAGAAATACAGAAAAACCCTGAAACCAGTTAGGCCAACTATACTTTTCCAGAAGGTGAAGTTACCATGACTTTTCCCATGAAACACAGAAAGACTGGGTAGGATAAGCACAACATCAAGGCCATAGCTGGGAGAACTCTTGGACCCATGGGACCACTCAGAGGAGGAGGGGAAGGGAGAAGGTATGGATTGAGCAACTCTGTGCCCACCAAGTGTTGAGGGTAAGGGAGATAGCTCTGAACAGTAAGTCCCTAAGTGGCCAAATCCTCTCCATCTAGCAGAGGTGTTGGATGAGATCAGAACAGCCAGTCAGTCACTTGTGTTTCTTGACTCAGTTCTCAAGCAAACCGGCAGCACCACTCCCACAACTATGGCGACCAACTTTCCAAAAAGAACGAGGGAGTTGGTGGGGGGGGATTAAAAAAATGAAACAGTATCCTCTCCCTCTCTAAAAACAGAGAGAAACCATGTCTCAATCTCTAGACCAATGAAAACTTTCCCAATGAATGGAAAATTCATACAATTGGCTAGTGGCCCCTTTCTCTTAACTCACTGGAAATCTGGGGAAAACAACTCAAAGTCACAGCTTTTAAAGGCAGGCCATAAAAATCAGTTATCTGTCGCTGTTGGCTTCCAATAAAAGGCAGAGGAGCTTCCATAAGATTGATTTTTTTTTTTTTTTTCCTTACACAAATGTGTGGCGGGAGAAAGCGCCCAGTCTGGGGTTGGAGTGCACTTGGGGGCAGGGCTGGTCAACCGTGGCTGTGCGCCTCCTGGCTGGCCTGATGTGCAGGGGACCAGAGGTCAAGAGGTACTGGCCCCGGGGGGCCCTTCCAGCCGCCTGTCCCCGAAGGAGGAAGAAGATGCAGGGTTGCCAAGGAGGCATTTCCACAGCACTTAGTACCCAGCATCCAGTACCAGGACGCCAGCTCCCTTGCAAACACTCCTTTGGCGGAACTGGCAGCCACCCCGCTAGGGATTTGTTCCACGTGCTTTCAAAGTCAGAAGTGGCACTGTTTTTGCCTGATTCTCCGGAGACAAAACGGGCAGGGCCCCTCCCGGGGCTAGCGAGAGGAGGGGGTTGGGGGAAAGGAAGGGGCGCGCCCTCAAATCCAGAGTCTCCAGCTGGCCTGCTGGGCTGGGGGCCGGGTGTCCTTCGCCCAAGGTGCCTGGGGGCACAACAGGCTGTCCCAGAGGCCCGGAAGGGGGTGGCGCGGGGGCAGAAGTGCCCGCTGTAACCCGAGCTTTGTACTGATTTCTCCCCCACCGAGCGGTTCCCATTTCACAGACAGGGCCACCAAGGCTATGGGAAGGCGGGAAGCTCGCCAAGCCCGGGTCAGCGGTCAGGACGCCGGGTGTCCCCGGAGACGCGCTGGAGAGCCGTGGCCGTGGCCGTGACCCTTCCAGGACTGCCCCTCCTGGGGGTGAGCGCCGCAGCCCCCCGCAGCCGACGTCCGGGGTCTCCGCGTCCTCCTCGTTCCCCGGCGGCGACAGGTGCGCGGCCTGTGGCGCCCTGGCGCCGACTCCGGGGAAAGTTTCCTGGCCGCCGCGCGCTGTTTACGGTCTCGTTTTGCAGCGCTGGGGCCCCGAGCTCTCGGGCCAGCCCAGCCATTGAAACCCGACACGCGGGGAGGGGCCATCGCGGCGGCCAGCGGGGAGGCGAGCGGGCTCGGGGCCCGGCCGGCCGCGGCTCCCCTTACCTGCAGCTCTGCGAGCGGCCTCTGCCTCCATGCTCGGCTCCCGCGGCGCTGTGTCCCTCCCCGGGGGCTGCCCCATTTCCCCTCTCCGCCTCCGCCCCTCCCCGCTCCAGGGCTGCCCCCGCCCCCCCCCTCCCCCGGGGCTGCCCTGGCTCCTGGCTCCTGGCTCCTGGCTCCCTAACCCCGAGCTGGCCCTGCCCCCGGTCCCCACCCCCTGCCTGGGGCCTTCGCAGCCAGCCAGCGACCTTGACTCCCCAGTTTGCAAAGCCAGTCCTAAACCTCCGAGGAGTTTCTTAATTCTTTGGACGAGAAAACTATTAGCACCGCACCCCATAGCCAGTGGCCCTCTTCGGAGCTCCTTCTCAGTTCCTTCTGCTATTTCTGTTTCCAGGAACAAGAATCATTTGCGTTATCCCTTTTAGAAAATGTACACAGTTTGAAAATAACAGAAAGACCATGAGTGGCACACTTCGGGCAGAAGAGCCAATAACCTGTTCTGTCCCTTTCCAGATTTTTTCTGATGACTGTAACGTGCCTGGTTTTGCTGATAACTAATACTTTCATCGATTAAATGTTCAGGCTTGTGAGCAACTTGAGCTAGCGTGATTCAATGACAGCCAGCTGTTTCTCCAGTATTTCAAAGTGTTTTTTACAGGAAAGGTATGGAGTAGGGCTGCTTTTGAAAATGCTGATGGCCTTGGAACCCAAGGTCTGTGGTCAGTCAACTAGTGCTTGTTCTCCTGTTGGCAGCTCTGAAATTGGCCCTTGTGGACAGCCACCCAAGCTGCATCCTGGGTCCTTATGGACTCAAGGGTCTAGCCTTCATCTGCCTCCCTATCCCTCCACCCCACAACCAGCTGCTCAGAGAATTCCCCCCAACTGCTCCCCACTGTGCGCCCCCAACTTCAGACCAATGGACTTGCCATAGCCCAGGGTATCTTCATGCATGGGATGAAAAATGGCCCCAGTTCCACTTCCACTGCTCGTTGTAGCAGTGTGCAGTTTAATAGAGACTAAAGCTGGGGACCCTCCTTAGATCCAGCCTGAGTCACTTCCTGAAGTCTGAGATTTCATTTTTCTACAGCAATAAAATGCAGAGCTCCTGGGCAATAACTTTAACTTCTCCAATCACCTGTTCTCATTAAACACAGGTTTATTAGGCTCCTACTATGTGCCCTATCCTGTTCCAGATTCTAGTGATTCAGCAGTGAACAAAATTAATAAAACCTTGCCTTTGGAGGCTAATTTCTAGTGGGTAAAAGTGAGCAGGAGATAGAACATAATAGTATGGTAAATAAGGGCTAGAGGGAAAAAATAATATAACAAAGAAAGGGAAGCAAAAACATGAAGGGAGGGAGATAAGTATGTGGGAAGAGGAAATGGCGAAGGTGGCAACAAGTGCAAAGGCCCTGAGGTTAGGGTTAGGAACAAGTCTCATTTTGGGAGCCATGCACCTTTGTTGAACCCCTCATATTTGTGGGTGTTACTTAAGCTATTGACACACACAGCTAAAGGCTTATTAATCTCTTCTCTAAAGTATACTTCTTCAAGGCCTTGTACATTTTTTTAAGTTTTTGCATTGTTTTTTTTCAATTACTCAGAGTTCCAGGGCTGAAGAGTGAGGTTCTTTTCTCATAGAGTCCAAGAATGAATCTCGAGGACAATGGAGAGTGAGTAAAGCCACAGAGTTTTATTGAAAAAGGATCCAGAAAAAGCTCTCACGAGAGAGAGGGCTCCCAATAGGGTGGCCAGTGGGGACCTCCACGGACAGTCTCTTATTTAGAAGTAACAAGGGAGCCTGTGGCCTTATCATTCTTGTGATGTCTTGGTTTCAGTAAGGCCTGGTGAAAACATCTTTAATGCCTTACTTCTTCTTTGGAGTCTGGTTATTGTTTGTTGGACACCATATGACTGCCATTAAAAAAAAAAACCACCACCGCCACCAAAAACAAACCCACCCTCTACCCTCCTACTCCCCCACCCTCCCATCCCTCACCCCACTCTGCTCCCCAGGGCAGGGTGGTCTGGTTTGTTCCCTTGTCTCTGATGTCCTTATACCTCAGCATTTCTGGGATTTCCTTGAGCCTGATCCATAGCCCCCTACCTATCCCTGCCTAACTAGCTTGGCCTGTCCCTTACTCAGTTACCTGAATACACGTTCCTTCAGAAAAAAAATTTTTTTTTAGATGGAAAAGTTCCCTGTTTCTCATTAAACACCTGTTCCCGAAGTTGGTATTTAGTCAAATACTCCCTCTTTTCCGTAATAGTTTCCGGGTTTTCTGTCTCACTTGGGTAGGCTAAAACTACCCCAAAATTAGAAAACAAATTCTTCTACATTTGCTTCCAATATTTTTATTGTTTTGGTCTTTAGATCTGATCCCACACCATCAAATGGGCCATTCTTTGCCCCATTACTATAAATTACTTCCTAAATCATATATTAAATTCCTATATACATTATAGCTCTTCTTTTTTTTTTAAGATTTTATTTATTTATTTGACAGATAGAGATCAAAAGTAGGCAGAGAGGCAGGCAGAGAGAGAGAGAGAGAGGAGAAAGCAGGCTCCCTGCTGAGCAGAGAGCCCGACGTGGGGCTCAATCCCAGGACCCTGAGACCATAACCCGAGCCAGAGGCAGAGGCTAAACCCACTGAGGCACCCAAGCGCACCCCATTATGGCTCTTTTTTTATTGACCATCTTTCCTATTTCTACTACAATACCACACCATCTTAATGACCACAGCTTTATCATGTGTTTGGACATCCAGGAGGACAAGCCCTTCTTAATCAAATATTCAAACAAGGTAGTTCAGGATACTGAGAGTTGGCATAGATTACTTCTTACCTTGAACATTAATCTGCATAGCATTCATATCTTTAAAGTTTTGAGTGTTCCAATCAAAGAACAGAAGCACACCTAGGTTTATTTGGGTGTTTTTGGGGGGCAGGGGATGGCTGAAGCCCCATTCTTACAGACGGACCTCAGACATTTCTTTTTTTTTTTTTTAAGATTTTATTTATTTATGTGACAGAGAGAGAGAAATCACAAGCAAGCAGAGAGGCCGGCAGAGAGAGAGAGGGGGAAGCAGGCTCCCCGCTGAGTAGAGAGCTCAATCCAGGGACCCTGAGATCATGACCTGAGCAGAAGGCCAGAGGCTTAACCCACTGAGCCACCCCAGCGCCCCCGGATCTCAGACATTTCTTATTCTGGGTTTATTCCTATACATTTCTGATACTTGTTGGCCATTATGAATGGGCTTTTTCTTTTTTCTGGTTATACTTGCTAATTGGGTATTGAGGGTACATAAGAAAACTATTGGCTTGAATATATGCCTGTCGTATCCTGCCACTCTTTTGAGGTCTAATAGTTTTTAAAGTCAATTATCATAGATTTTCTAAGTAGCCCCTCAGATTGTCTATAAATTAAGTTGTTGGGTGTCTAAACCTTCCTCAAACCTCAGTGACTCAGCATTCACTACTGACACTAAAATTGCCCTTAATCCTAACCAAGAACAGAGAAAAATATTATTTATATACATACACCAGAAAATAGGGGCCCCATAAAGTCCTAGAGCATGTTTTCAGTATGGCTCTGTCTAATATCCGGGAGGTAGTCTTGTCTCCCTCATTTATCTACGTGGGAATTTCTTCAGTGTTAAGAACACAACTATTCTGGGGTGGCTCAGTCAGTTAAGTCTCTGCCTTTGGCTCTGGTCATGATCCCAGGGTCCTGGGATCAAGCCCCACACCGGGCTCCCTGCTCAGCAGGGTGTCTGCCTGTCCCTCTTCCTCTGCCTCTTCCCCTTCTCTATCTCTCCAATAAATAAAAATCTTTACATTAAAACACACACACACACACACACACACAAACACACACACACACACACAACTCTTCTAGCCATTCCCAAGGTATTTGTGAAATTTGAAAGAAAAATTCAGTATTTAAACAAAAGGGCTAGCAAGCTACTAGATTTTGTTTAATAAGTAAACAAATTCCTCTTGTAGCTGTTGTTACTTTTTGGCCAAGGAGCCGTAGTCCTGAACAAAGGAGAAAGAAAAAGCCAGATCAAGGCTTTTAGCAAAATGGGAGGAAAGATATATAAGACAGAAGAAAAATATAGACAAACCTTTCTCCTATAAAATTCAGGGGAAATAGTACTTTGTGATGTATCAGAGCAAATTGCTTGAAATTTTAAAACACGAATCTTCTATTAATTCACAATTCTTCAGTGACATTATACAGACTAGTATCTTTCTATACCAGCTTCCCATGGAATATGGAACATAATCCCAACATTGTCATATGGTTTCTAACATATCAATTCTGATTGTTTTAAAACAGTTTCAAATGGTTATTTCTGAATACTGTAAGTCTAAAGCTTTCCTTTTTTAAACACTTTTTTAATATTTTATTTATTTATTTAACAGACAGAGATCACAAGTAGGCAGAGAGGCAGGCAGAGAGAGAAGGAAGCAGGTTTCCCCATGCAGCAGAGAGTCTGACGTGGGGCTCAATCCCAGGACCCTGGGATCATGACCCGAGCCAAAGGCAAAGGCTTTAACCCACTGAGCCACCCAGGCACCCCTAAAGTTTTCCTTTTTTAAGAAAAGTTTTTTTTTTTTTTTTAAATTTGAGAGAGAACACAAGCAGGGAGAGTGGCAGAGAGAAGGAGAAACAGACTCCCCGCTGAGCCGGGAGCCCAATGCGGGGCTCCATCCCAGTACCCCAGAATCATGACCTGGACCAAAGGCACTTAAACAACTGAGCCACCCAGGCACCCCTAAAATTTTCTACTTTTAAATCAGTAAATGTCGTGAGCATTTGAAAGCTATTCTTTTTTAAAAAGATTTTATTTATTTACTTGACACGGAGAGAGAGCACACAAGTAGGCAGGGCAGCAGGCAGAGAGAGAGGAGGAAGCAGGCATCCCAGTGAGCAGGGAGCCAGATGCGGGACTCGATTCCAGGACACTGGGATCATGACCTGAGCCGAAGGCAGTTACTTAACCAACTGAGCCACCCAGGCGCCCTTGAAAGTTGTTCTTTAGTGGGAAAGTTAAAAGCATGAACACGTGGTG